TTGCAGCTATCTTTAATTGTGTGGTAACTCGTGTATATTGAAAAGGCTCATCTGAAAATGTAAGGGACAGCATCAGTTTTAATTTTTACCTGGAAGGTAAATTGCATTGGATATAACTGTTAGAAAAATTCCTTTATTGCCTTAATTCCCCCTTTGCAGGCTTCAAAGGGCATGTGAATGTCAGATGTCTACTGCATGTCTTCATTATTTGCCATATTTTTCTCGTGTTTGTTAAAAATACATCTGACACAAAATTGGAAATGCCTCTTTTTCCCATCAGTCCAGTGTTGGGCATTATTGGAAATACGGCTGCACTTGCACTGCTCTTCCAGCATTTGTTTATACCAGTGCAGACCAGGAGACTGCTAAATGTGCTGTTTTCAAATTGGCATGAGATCCTTTGTGGATCCTGTGTCCACTGGGTTGAGTTGTAATTCTCATTCCTTCTCAGGAAGCTAGGAGAGCTTTGGAAGGCAGAATATATCAAGTTCCTATTTCCTTTTCAGGAAGTCACCCTTATTTTAGCTTTCTGCCTCTATGCACAGCTCTGTGCACTGGCAGAAGTTACAGTTACTTTGATATTGTATTGTGCAATACATTTAGTTCTTCTTACCCTAATAAATCTTACTGATGCAACAGTGATGTTTCCTTGACTGTTTCTAGATCCATAAACCGTAATGACCTGGTGGAGTACATAACAACACATTACAAAGGACCCAGAATGGTCCTGGCTGCTGCTGGAGGTTCGTACGAGATACTCACCCTGGATCATGTGAAACTGTGCTTAAGACCATGGTCTTTAAGTTTCTGGGAACAACATGATGAATTACCCATTGTTCAGTAGGTCCTGGAAGTTCATTGCTAGCCCTGCATGTTTTGTGCCTTCATAACCTTTGAACTTCTGTTCCCTTTTTCCCTCAGTAATATTCCAGAAGCATTCTTACACCAGTAACTAGATGTGAATTGGAGGCCAAGGTCATTCTTCCATGTGGGCAGGAAAAGAGGGGCCTAAAAAGGGTTCAGTGTGAAAAGAGGTATCAAGGAAAGCAGAGAACGGGAAATAACATCGCGGCTTGAAATTGAGAGCAAACAGCTTAATTTAGTGTAATATTAATAGAAGGCTACTGAAGAGATTTGAGGAGGTTGATAATGATGATCTTAGTCTGTATAACGGGGAGATGTGAGGAATCTGAAAGTGTGGTATTAAAGGGGGGGGAAAATTACTGCTTGGTTGAGTCTTTGAAGTGTACAACGATTTAAATCAAGTCTTTACAGAGCAACAGTACAAAATATGTGAAATATCTTTGTTCAGGGGTCTCTCATGATGAGCTGCTTGACCTGGCAAAGTGCCACTTCGGTAACTTGCCATCTGCCCCGGAAGGAGGACTGCCACCCCTGCCGCCCTGTAGCTTCACAGGTAGTGAGGTAAGCTGTTGGATGGCTTTTCGAGCTGGCTCCAGGAGAGAGCTCCTCAGCAAATGAAAAAGTTTCCTGCCCCCCGTATGGGCAGTGGAGTAGCTGCTTTCCAAAGCAGTACTTTCCAGCCTGTCCTGGACAAGCCTCACTGCTGCCACTTTTTCTGTTTCATCACTTCCTGGAGGAGTACCTCCCTTAACCTGCTGCTACTCTGCTTTTATCTCCTTGCCTATGGTGTTGGAGCGTTTCCACTTGTTGGGAATCACTAATTTAAAGGATATGGCAGAGGGCCAAGGCATCTGTGTTCTATTCCCAGCTCTACTTGGATTTTAAAAGGTCGTCAGCTCTTCTTTCTGCTGTTTGTCATAAAATGGCTTGTAGTGCCCTCTCCGTGTACGTGGCATTGGGCTTGCTGTTGGCGAAGTGCTCTGAAATTGCCACGGGGAAGACGAGTTAGGGGCAGTGTTAAATAAAGCTTCGTAGCTTTAACTTTCTCTGTGTATGCTTTATAATCCAGCTGTAGTGGGAATGTCTGTCTCCTGATCTTTACCTTCCTGTATACGTTACTGTGTGCAGGCTCTACTGCAGCTACTTTCCTCCATTCCCACAGATCCGTATAAGAGATGACAAGATGCCCTTGGCACATATCGCGATAGCTGTGGAAGCAGCTGGCTGGTCACACCCAGATACAATCCCACTTATGGTAGCAAATACTCTGATAGGTAACTGGGATCGTTCCTTTGGAGGAGGCGTGGTGAGTGAACCTGCAAGCACCTTCCTGCTCTCAGTGAGGCTGGTGAGATCTCTCTGATCTGGGCACTGCCACTGCAGACCCATTCACACCTCTCTGATGGCCTTACTGCTACTTTATGGCCGTTTCTGAAGGTCCCTTGTTGGAGTGGGAGGGGGGGAATCCAGTCGTGAGTCTGGCAGAATTTGTTGCCCAAGATCTAGGAAAATCTTAGGAAGTGGTAAACCACCAAAAGTGAGGTGACTTGAGGTCTGTCAGCCCTCATGTCAAGTAGGATGTTTCATACCTGTATGTCATCAGAGCCTATGGGTGTGAGTAACTCTCCCTTGCTTGAACCTGAGTAGCTTTATGATTTTGGCTTAAATCTGGGCTGTTACCTGGAAAGGTGGGATTACATGCAAGGCAAGAAACCGTTGAGGTGAAGAGCTGATAATCAACCTTGTAGCTTCTGCTGGAGCCTGTGATGCCACGGCGTGTTCTGTCATCACTGAAATGAAACAGGAGACTATGGAGGTGACTAGTAGGCTTTCAAAACGCTTTATAAATAATATACATTTCTTTTACTTCAGCAGAATTTATCCAGTAAACTTGCTCAGATTGCCTGCCATGGTAACCTGTGTCACAGTTTTCAGTCCTTCAACACCTGCTACACTGATACAGGGCTGTGGGGACTCTACATGGTCTGTGAGCCATCCACGATACAGGACATGGTGCACTTCGTTCAGAGAGAATGGTAAGCTAACCACAGTTTCTCTAAAAAGATTGTTTTCAGTGGAGGTATAGGGTTAAAAAAAATAGCAGTCACTTAAAGAGAACATTTTTGTTTCCCCCTCAGCCTGGAAAAAACAAACACATCAAGTTCTAAACTTTGACACTCAGTGCAGAGTCCCAGCAGCCAGTTGCTGGCACCCTTACTTGGAGTGAGTAGCTTAAGGTTTAGGTTTGGTTTTCTTTTTCTGCCCTGGGAAGAATAAACAGTAACTATAATTAATAACAATCCCTGTGCAAGAAAACACGGCAGTGATTATTTTTTTTGGAATTGCAAGTGACGGAAGTTATGAAAGTGCATCAAACTTTTTAGACTACTAGTAAGTTAAGAGGCAGTGCCCATGAACTCCACGACTGACAGCTGAAAGAGTGAATATTCTTGAATGAGCATGAGTGTGCAGTTAGCCACAAGCACTGTTTGTAGCTACCCTGCTGCAGTTGCTCTCCCACCTGCCATACCAGGTGGTGGTGTACACAGGCTCTAGTGTGTACACAGGGAAATGACATGATGTGAGGTAGGTGAGCTGTTGCATATGGGACTGTGAAACCTGGGCTTCTAGAAAATATTCATTCATCTAAGGCTTAAATGTAAGTTGAAAAGACGTCCACAGGTGCAACTGTAACGCTTGGAATGCAGATGTGATAGAAACAGATGTATATTATTTAAGAACACTGATTTAACGTGTGTGAAGTTGAGAGAAAACTTGAAAGGAGTTTCTTTAATCACGTAGATCACTCCCATGTATCATTATTCCAAGATCTCTGTAAACAGCTTGTGGAGAAAAATGGCATCATTGTAGCTGTTTCCTGCATCTTAGGGGGGATCTAATGCGTCCGCATCCTCATGAAATGTTCCTTATGCACAGGATGTAGTGGATTCCCTTCTGGGCTAATTACCTCTAATTGGCTCCTATTATGTATGTTAGCAACAGCTATTCTCAAGATAGCAAGCATGGACTATGCTTGGCTCAAAAATCATTCAGTAAAATGAAATACAGTTCTAAGGGGAAAAAAACTTGCTCTTAGGTATATTGGTGTGCTTCCAAAAAGCCCTACTCTTATGCTGCTGCTTTGCATCCTATGGCTTGTTTTCCATACCAAATTCTCTTACCTGCTCCGTCAATAGAAAGACATGTCTGGTAGGTGTACTGAGGTATATGCACCTCGTATCACGGACAATCTTGCGTGCCACAGGTTGCAATTATTTAATGCCTTTGGGTTTAAACTATTTTTCAGGATAAGACTTTGCACAAGCATTACAGAAAATGAAGTAGCTCGAGCGAAAAATCTTCTGAAGACAAATATGCTGCTACAACTTGATGGTGAGACTTAGGAGAGCTTTTAATGCTCAGTGGAGTTGTATGCTGATAACAGAAGCATGTTTTCCCCTCTTCCAGGGTCCACGCCAATCTGTGAAGACATTGGAAGACAAATGCTGTGTTATAAGCGCCGAATCCCAATTCCAGAACTTGAGGCAAGAATTGATGTGAGTGGCACTTATGTTGCAACTGTTTAATTAAACCCGTAATAAATTTAATTGCTACGGGAAGTAACGATAGGGAAGTTAGACTGTTTCCAACTGAGGACATTTTCAGCTCTTGTTGCCTGTTCCCCTGGATTATACGAGATGATCACTGGCTCTTACTATTTTTTAAATGGGATTGCTAACAAAGATGTCTCTTTACCCCTTTTAGGCTATTGACGCCCAGACTATTAGAGAAATTTGCACAAAGTACATCTATGATAAGCATCCTGCAGTTGCTGCCGTGGGTATGTTGTGCATGTTTCCCTACCCTCCCCCACCCCTCCACCCCAATCGCTGTCAGTGTAGCGTGCGTCATGGCCAACTTTCTTTAACTTCCAGGTCCAATTGAGCAACTTCCAGAGTATAACAAAGTCTGCAGTGGCATGTACTGGCTTCGTGAGTAGTGAATAACAAGAACTTTCAGTGTGTTTGAGCTTTAAAAAAAGTGAAAAACTACTACACCCCTGTTTAAAGCTTTGGAGTTGGAGAAATGCATTTGAGAAGATTAAAACTCCAGAACCAGCCCGACCTGTGTCTCTGTATAACTAAGGAAGGAATGAAAACATGTACAGTATTTGCATTTTTATTATAAAACAAAGATTGTCAGTAAGAGTCACTTCTTGACTTTAGTAGCATTCATCACTTGTTCTTGAGCAGCTTTCTTTGCCTTGACCATTTCAACGAGTTCCTGGAGAGATGGGGAAGAAAACAAAAGAGATGCTTACCTAAATGTGGAACGTGTGTTCAAAACCACAGCACTGTTGACTGTGTATAGTCAACCTGAAACACTCTAGCTCTCAACATAGCAAGGAATCTAGACAGTTTCATACCTTAAATCAATTTCTCTTAGAAACAAATAAATTAATGGAAGGTCAATGCTCATCCACCCTGCCTGTAGCAGGAACTTCACCTCCCAGAGGCTAGGGATAGGACTTCACCAGCTACAAGAGCTTGCTCTCAAATTCTAAGACAGATTTCATGAGACAGACTTCCCTTCCCAGCTTCCACAGCCACTGTTTTTAACTGAGGATAACTTAGTCCTTACTGCTCTTTTGGGGTTGAGTTACATAAAACTCCCAGAGTCTCTCCGTAAGGCTCCATCTTTGTTAGACTGCCGTTGTCAGATACTCCCTGGTAGGGAGAGCAGCAGCCAAGGATTCTAAGACCTGGGCTAAGGACAGCCCTCGGAGGAGGTGAAGTACTTTACCTTGTATCGCTTCATGCAGTCTTTTTTTGACCGGCCTGGAACAGCTGCTGCTATCTTCTCCCATCTTTCAGGAGTATTTACTGGATAAGTCTTCAATGCTTGCTCTAAAAGCTTTTGTTCTTCTGTAGTCCAAGGGGATGAATCTAAAGGCGATCCTGGTTTTGCATTTAAAAATGACAGTAAGAAAAAAAAAAATACTTAATAAGGAGTCTGAGAGAAGCCTAAGAAAATACTGTCAGATCTATTATAGTTGATTTTTGAAGTTTTATGATATGACTGGTCTAGCACAACCCAGTGGTAAAAACCTGCAAGAAAAACCAGGACAGGTGGCCCGTGAGATTTTTACATACAGCGCAGAGAAGTCAGAAGGTACCCTCTTGCCTTGTCAGCTGGGTGTTAGATCACTGTAGCTGCCCTGTGAAGCCACAGTATTAGGGCAGCAAAGTAGCGTTTCAGTAAGGAACCACAGCCTTCTGCCAGTGTCTGGAAGTTTGATGGGAGGTGTTGGGGGTTTAACAGGAGACCAAAGCTTAGCTGTAGGAGGATCCTCTCCCAGGTGCATCCCCTCAGGCCTCCTCTTGCCTGAAATGCAGCACCCTCCGAGGAACAGATGATCTCAGCATCTGACTTAACCTGTTGCCTCACCACGAAGCATTTCAGACTGTCACTGGTATTTAACTCTGGCTTGTGCTGTGTGTACCAGAAGCCCTCAAATCCAGCAACAGAGCCTGGATCACTTTCTTACTCGCCACGCAAGTTTGCTTGCTTTCTTACTGAGATACACAGGGGAGGCGAGTCTGCAAGACGGGCTCCCTTTTCACCGTTACCTTCGAATCGTTCCGAGGGGGCAGCACTGTCCATCTGAGGCACCACACCATGTTCTTTTTTAAATTTGTCAAATGCTTTCTTGTTTATGTCATCCTTCTGATGAGGGTCTATGAGCGACAGACATTGAATAGAATAATTATTGCAACAAAATTAAAGCCAGATATAGTAATAAAAACATTGCGTAGCAGATTATTGTAAACTAATAATCACAATCAAAAATCCTACTTCATACTTGCTTTAAAAAGATGGTAAAGAGGTTGGTAGGTTAAAAAAAATCAGGGTCCAGTAAACTTTGCTCCAAGTGTCAGGCTCTCCAACCCCTCTCCTGCTTTATACTGCTAGATGAGCACTTTCTCTGTGTAAGCTGAAGCCTGAATCTGCAACTGCAGTGCAGTCAGGAGGGATTATTCTCTCGGGTAAGGGTTGTGGCAGAATGCTCACGTTATCCAGAGTACAAGCATGTCCGAGGGGCAGGAACACTGGGCAAATCTGGGTCCTCCTTGCGCAGATATGTGGTTTGGAAACTTCTTGAAAACTTTGTGGTTTGTTTTTTGGTGTATATTTTTTTGTTTGTTGGTTGGTTTTTTGGGTTTTTTTTCCCCTCCTCTAGCAGAATGTTTTGTTTTTCCTTGAGAACTTACTGCAGAGCTCTCTAGGCTCCATTTACCACAAGAGGAGATGAGCCACATTTGTTTAGATGTCCTACTCTGGTGCTGAATGCCATTCACCTTTTTAAAATATCTCTATAGCTTCATCGATTCCATGTATTCTAGGTGCCTTCCTTTGTAGAGGGCTTTCCCAGAGGCCTGTTTGTCTCCGAGCCTAGAGGAGCCCAGGCAATGCATGTGGCTTAGACATCTGCACATCAAGGTTAAGAGAATTCCTGGGAGTCACTCACAAGGTGGTGACTTACACAACAGCCGTTAGGCTGAAAATACCGAAGTGCATAAATGCTCCTCTAAATCTTCCATCTGAATGACATTTCTTTTGGGGATATACAGAGGATTTTATCGTCATAGATGCAAAGAAAATGAAACTGTGTAGAAGCATGCAGACCACCTGATTACAAAAATAAGGTAAATAGATACCAAGCTTTTGGAGGCTCTTTGCTTTATTGATGACATCTTTTGCTGTTCGTTTTATTCCAGTAGTAGAGTGCAAATTCATGTAATTGGCGATAACTTCCCACCTAAAGCAAGAGTAGAAAGGGCAAACCAGCATGCTACATAGTAGCTTATCTTCATACAAGCTATATTCAAGCTCCTGTACACATTTACGTCAACTCCTAAGGAAGTTTAGTCATACCTAAATACATAAAAACTCTCATGGTAACTATTCTGGAAAGCTTTCAGTCACTAAATGCAGATGTTTCTCATAAAAATTCAGTCAGCTTGGGTGAAGTTCTTGGCTTCTGATACAGAAAAAGGATGGCGTAGAATATAGGTGTGTTAAGTGCAAACCTCTAATCCTCAAAACTTTGCTCAGCTTTCCTGAATCCCTAAATACCTCTGCGATTAAATACTGCAGGCAGAGGAAGTACTAACCCCGTGTCCAGGGCCCCCCAGAATACCTAAACATCAGATAAAGGAGCTTTATCGGGAGAGAGATGGAACAGCCCTGGCCCTAAAGTTCCTCTTAGTGCATCCTAAGGGAATATCTGTAGCTGGTCAGATAATAAGCTGAGTGCCAATGCTGCTTTCTGTGAATCCCAGCCTTTCCCTTTTCCCCTGGCTCTCCCCTTAAGCAACGTGGGGCACATGTCTGTGGATGTTTTCCTCCTACTGTGTAAAGGAAACAACAGCCTCACATTAATTGTGGAGCTACTGGAAGTAGCTTTCACACCTGTGTTCCTACCCAGGTGCATCATGGGTCACTGTTCTGGTACCGTTCTCCGCTTTACTGACTGAAGCCTATCCTGTAGTACGCTCTGCGCAAACATGCACCTCAGCACAATCTTGCTGATGGGCTGAGGGGCCCAAGTTTGGAGGGAAACAAGACATAGGGCCAGAGCTAACTCCAGTGACACGTAGAGGATGGTACTAAGAGAAGACAAACCACAGGCTGCGAAACAGTCAAGAAAAAGGAGGAAGCTTAGGGAGTCCTTACACTGTCATCATATTTAGGATCACCTGGAAATAAGCTGTATTATGCTTGTTATTTAATTAAAAATTGATAGTAGGTCTTTTAACACCAAACCCGAGAAGTACCTTGAGTTAGTCCCTGCTGGGAAGAGGTTCACAGCTTTAATTAACAACTGTAAATCATCCTCTGGCCAATTTTTGCTTCCCCCTCCACCACCAGTGGTTGACTTTTCTGAACTCTTCGTGGCTTGGCGCATACGAGCTTCTGCCTCTTCTTTCTCTCGCCTTATCTGTTCATTTATTTCTTCTATCTGAAGGATTGTAAACAAGCATTATTTATCTATTTTTACATTTTACAGTGACACAAGCCCCTCTCTCTCTGGAATTGCTTTGAGCCATGAGTTTTGCGTAGTTTCTGTTCTGTATGTTATACATAAAGAAATGGAGGAGCTGCTCCAGTATTATTTCTCTCCATCTTGTGCTTAAATTTGGCCAGCCCGGCTTAGGAGCTACAGCAACTAGGGAATTAAATGAACAGTCCCGGATTAAGGCAAAACTTCCAACTCTAGCGCGACTGTCCAGGCTAACCCTGACTTAGAGGGACAGATCCACAAAAGCATTAAGAACCTAAAGTGACTAGCAAAGGCAGCAATATCCACTGGTTCCCAAGTCTGGTTATGCCAGAAATTCTGTTACTACAGTTGTACTAAGTTACCATTAACTGCAAGGACCCACACTGTAGTTACTAAGTGCTTACTCAGGGTTAGATGTGCAGTTTGTGGCAGGCAATTCAGCAGAATTTAAGCTACCAGTGACGCATCTTTGTGAACTGTGAGTGCATCTGGAGACTGTGGTGTGACAGATCTTTAAGGGATCTGCTTCTGAGTATGCCCACGCCAGTCTTGGCAAGACAAAAACAGCTATGCACTTAACGCCTGCTGGCAGGATGCTCAAAACAGGTTTCTCGCTGTCTATCTCATAATAAAATCTTCCTGGCAAAAGGGAAGTGATCCAATAGATTACTTTTATTAATGCAAAAGCGCAACAGTTTTAACAGAGACAGAAAGGTGACTGTCCCATGTTTGGAACACTCTCCTGGAGACTGGGAGATTGGATTCAATTCCCTGTACAAAAGAGGGATTTGAGTCTTTAGTTGTTTGATGAGTAGATGTGACCCTGGGATGGGGACAGATTCACAGCTGTGACTCCAAAGCAGATGAGAGAAAGTACCTTATTCTTTCTGCAGGATGTGGCTTCAGCCTTATTACTCCAAATGGCTTTTCCCTGCTAACAGATTTAGGCAGATCCTTGCTGAATTTTGTTAATTTTGACCAGAAGGTTCTCGCTTTTCCCATACTTTGACATCCAACCCACTGGCCCTTCCAATGGCTACAGCCTGCAGCACTTCAGTCCTTTTGTGGATCTAGCCCCACGTCATGGATACTAGACTGGGATTTTTCTTATGTAACAGAACAGGTTAAGACTGCCCTCCTTCCCCTCTAGGTCACTGCCACCCACTGTTGGGCAAAATTATATCCATACTGTAGGTTTTCTGTCCTTTACTAATTAAAAACGCATATATTTTTCTCAGCTGGCCCCGGTTATTTCAGCAGCCATGAACTGCACTGTGCAAATGGAGCAGAGATCAAGCTGCCGGGGGACTCAAACTCGTGTCTGTGTTCAACAGGCAGGACTCCACAGCAGCTATGTTGTATCTTACTTCCACTCAGTCACGTAGGTTTCACACATCAAATTATTCTGTTGTTTTCATTTGACACTCAGCATAATTACCTGTTTTACTACAGCCGCCTTTCCTCCTTCCCTTGTGGTGGATGTAAGTGCTTCATTCAAGCATTGCAGACTAAAAATAAATCATTAAGTTACAACGGAGAGCTAGTAGGAAGATGGGTATCAAAAGGAGCAGAAAGCAGCAGCAGGAAGACTTACCTTGCTAGCTCAAGACGATCACAAAGCTTTTCCACCTCCTCCATCATTTTAACACAATCTGCCTCATTATCAGAAAAGTAATTCCAGTTCTGGAAGTAGAAATACATGTTCTACAAAGTTCTTGAACTTTATTGTCCCATTCCTTCAGAAAAAGGCTTAACACACAGGGTTCTTCAGCCACGGCTACGCCTGGACCTATTTGGTCAGCTTTACTCACATCTCGGAACTGAATCATGTGTTTTAGCATTTTGCTCTTTAGTAAACCCACTTTCCGTACCCATCTCCAGCCATAAGAACAAGGAAGCCTGTGACAGGCTCTGATCTAAGCAAACAGTAATTTCACCGATACAACCACTATTTCACTACAATATTTAAATACCTTGCACGTCGTTCTCAGTTTTTGTCTTTCTTTCTTGATTGCTTTTTTCTGTATCTCTTTTTCCTTTTTTGCTACTAATGCTTGTTGCCTGACTTCTTCTTCCTCCTTTTCTTTTGCTAATCGTGCTGCTTCTAATTCTGCTTGTCTTTGCTGCAATCAAAAGGGAAAAAAACAAACAAACAAACAAAACCCCCTCAAAGTCACATTGTTACAGGATTATTCAGTATTAAAATGTGCTGTTTCTGGTTTTGGTGGGGTTTTTCCTGGGGGAGGTGGAGGGGTGTTTGTTTGATTGCTGTTGGTTTTTGGTTTTCCAGGAATTTTGAGGGGCGTGATGAAACATACACCAGCTGGCATTAATTCAGATACTCACTATATGAGGACCCCTAGTTTATAAACCCTGACTTTCTCTACAGTGAAGATCTAGAACTCTATGAAATCTCCTGTGCCTGCCCCAAGAGTATAAGCTTGGAAAAATGCAATGGTACAACACTTCTCCTGCATCATTATTAACGTAACATCTTGCAGTGCTCCAGTATTGTCCTTGAAGTCACTGTTTAGCACCTTACGGTTCCCTTATGTTCCCAGTACTGTTTTCAGAGTCCTCTTTCCCAAACTGTCAATGTTAATCAAATGTGTTACGTTACCTCAGAGCGTTTCATACCAATCAGCCTTTCAGACCATACGCACAAGGCAAGCGGCTATATCCGCTGTATGAAAAAGGGAGTAGCTTAACGACAGAGCTTAACGACTGCCTCTGAACCAGAGGAAGCGTATGCAACACCGGAACACAACTTCAGATTTTTGTTTCAGACCTGTGCTCCTTGTTTTCATCTCGTTCTCCAAAGGCTGTCAGTCTTGCGCTGCCTGTTGCGCAGGGATCGAAGACAACGCGTCTTCAAACCCCAACATATTTCTCACAGCAGCTTTCTGACACATCTGGGAGCTGAAGCAGTGGATCAGGTGTGAATGAACCAGGGTTTTTCAACCCAAGTTAACTTACTTTTTCTTTTGCCTCCTGTTCTTTTCGTTTTGCTTCCACCTTTGCTTTTTTCTCTGCTTCTTTCTTTGCCTTTTCTTCCTCCTTGAATTTCTTTATCCTGGGATCACAGCTGTAAGCGTTGTCTGGCAGAAGAAAGGAGGCATCGTGTGTGAAAGAAGACCAGATTTCCCCTGTTAGTTAACAAATGGCTCTGTAAGCTTACCAACAAGCGTCCTAATTCTGTTCATTTCTTCTTTTTTTCTCAGTGCTCTGGCAGCTCTGTTCTGCTTTTCAATCCACCTCCTTTCATCTCGACTGAAAGGAGAGCGCATCGTTAGTTCAGTGCTAATACCTCACAGTGTATTAACAAAATTCAAAACCAAACTTGTAAAAAAGTTACCCCACAGAGATGCTCTTCTCTGAATACTTCAGAAACTGAAGTACCAGTGCCCCAGGCTCATGTCAAAAATGCTAAGCCTTTACACAATTACATAAACCTTCAAAACACCTGACAAAACAAGCTGCATATCTGTCACTGCAGGGAACGAGACCATGGACTTGATTTTCGAAATGCAATCCACTTGTTGACCTAACGCTGAACCCAAGCAAAACAGCCAAAATGCTGGTATACAGTTTAATTAGAGGGCAGCAATCTAAGCAATGTCAATTATCTCTGTTTTACAGAAGATCGGTCACATCAGCCAAACCCGTCTGCACAGAAAGAACACTTTGTAGACAGTACCATGGCACTCGGGTAAAATCACACCGGATTGACTCCAGTAAAGCGCAGCTCAGGTTAGACAGACTGAAAATTGTCTAAGTAATCAGAAAACATTTGTCAGTGCTGTCAAGCAAGGCAAATTTTTAGTGGGGGGTCTGTATCCTCATCCACACAACCAAATACAGATCCGTATACCTCACAGCCAAGAAACCAATCCCCATGACAGTGTAGAGGACCACTATGTGCAGGGTGAAGGTTTAAAACATGAGCAACATCACCTCTGGCAAGAATCCTGACCATCTGAAGAGAATCCGAAACGTAGCGCTCTCTCAGGTACAGCGTACCATGTACCATTTGTCTAAACATTTTGTTAAAAAGGACACTAATGACAGGAATAAGCACAGAAAGGAGCTATGCAAAGAATTCAGGAGTCTTCCAATGAGAAGCCTAGAGATTAATCTGTATAATTTATCAAAAATACAAGTGGTATAGAATTGATTACAGTGCTTTCACAGAATCTTCACAGGAGAGAGACAGCTCACAGGTCCAGAGAGGCTCAAAACATTTTACAGCAGGAAAAGGCGTGAGAGAAGAGGAACAGATGCCTAGCTACAGCCTAAATATGGCACAGTTTTTAGCCACAAGGAAAGCTAACTACTGCATCCAACTACCGAACTGATTTCTATGCAGACTTGGAAGAGCAGCTTCATACAACACAAGGTGTGGTTATACAAGGACAACTAAATGAAGGGTTGTGTCCTGCAAAACACGCGTTAGGCTAAATGAATCAGTGCTCCACCCTGAACTTTCTGTGTTCAGGGCTGTAGAAGGATAAAAAGAGACTGTATTTTTCAATGGCGACAGGGTCTGAGTAATTCAGCAACCATCACTCCATCAGCAGATGCACCATTTTTATGAACATCAAGCCATCAGAACTAATCTGTAAACCCTAGAACATATCCCTTCTCTCAGAGCAGTTCAGTAACGCACTGCAGAGGCAAACGGTGCCTGCTTACTCATCCGCTCTGTTCTGGCCCCACGTTCCACCCGCGTCTGGGACTCGCTGGAACTGCAAGTCTGAACTTAAATGAACACACATTTCAAAGCGCCTCAGAAGCACCTCTGTGAGGCAAGCAAGAAGTACTCCAGTTACAAATAAAACAGAGAAGCTCGCAGTCACTCCAGCTCAAGTCCGCGGCTGATTACTAAGCAGGGGGAGTGGAATGCAGTCTCGGGTGGACTACCTTTCTTCCTGTGACTTACAGGGTAACAGAAAGTTGGAGAATCTTGCTGCATCAATCTCAGTGTCTTGTCAAATTTCTTTTTACTTACATACCATTCTGCTTTTTCTTTTTCCTCTTCGTCTAAATAGGAAAACTCTCTCCAGGAGTCAAAATTATACCTAAAGTAAATACATAAACCCCAACAAACATGAATGAATTAAATTAAAAACCAAAACACAACACAAAACAGCAGAACTATTACAATCTACTTCTACTATTAGTTTTTTTGTAGTCACTTATACTGTTATTTACAATTTATAATACATAATTGACAATTATACTGCATCTACAATGATTCTGCTGTGTTAAGTCAAAAGGCAAGGTGCTACTGAAAGTAATGCTGTACATCTGTCTGCACTGTAGGACAGAGTGTATTTCAGGATGGGATCAGTCTCAACCTAAATGTCTACAGTGCAGTTGCATGAGCTCCCATTACAGGCAGCGGAGATATAACGTAGCCTGCCAAGGTCAGAGAAAAATTAATTTAATCTTTATATAAGCACTGACATTTAGTGGGTAAGTCAAGCCATAAGCACTACTGACTTTATTGGAGTAGACAGCCCCCCCTTAACTAGGGTTGTTTAAATACCGACACATGAAAACACATTACAGAATCACAGAATGGTTT